GAGTCAGCGACGCGCGCTCAACCGAATACACACATTAAAAAAACAGAGGAAAAAAAAGAAGAGTATTCTCACACGTGAAAAAAAGCATGACCTATAACGCACGTCGCTGTTACAAATGATGTATCGTAGATTACAATATGGTACTTGCCCAGTCTACCCATTTGCGAGAACGAACAAAGAGCAGATAAGATTGCCGCTTTATGCTTAAACTAATTGCGCGCTGACAATATTTAAAATTAACGAGATACAAGCGAGAGTCGCAGTTTACTCTTCTTTTTCTCTCGGCATTTCGGTTGAACGCTGGCTGCAAACATAGAAACCAGCGCGAGGAGAGAAAAATCTAGCTTCGTGTTTAACGAGAATTGTAAGGTAGAAGATAGAACCAGACTTCACCAGTTTCAGTTTCTATTCCATTCTAGATATAACATAGCGGTAGAGGGTACTTTTACATACAGCACGGAATATACATGTTTATACTTCCATTTTTGTTTTTATTTTGTTAATTTCTCATATAATACTAACAAAACATTTAATTACAAAACATGGGCGTACGGTTTTGTAGTGTCTCTTATCTTCCTTTGTGTGTATTATGCGTGTGTGTGTCTGTACCTTTGTATAGTGTGATGAAAGCAGTAGTTATGTGTCTCTATGTGGTATGCATATCATCTGGTTAATGTAAATATTACGATTATTTCATAAGTTCTCTACAATAAGTAGATGGATTTTATAACGACAATTTACACGCTGAACGCGTGCAGTAAATACATCCCATTTACCCGCAGCGTCTCTTCGTTTAATTTTACATTCATCACGACTTCGTCTTGTACGGACCTACGACCAATTCTCTTCTATAATCTATTCCGATGAATATGCAAACGCAAAAGAGATAGAAACGCTACTATAGTATACGATACAATAATATATAATCGTACCTCGATATTGATCGATATTATAAATAGTTTTTAATAATTATTCGTCCAAACACTGAATATTTTACAACAGCCATCGATCTCAACTATTCATAATTCTATTAAACAGTTTGCAACTTTTACAGTTTCAATTCTTTTTCTTCATTTCTTTTTTTTTTTTTCATTTTATTTTAATATTATGCGTAGCGTGTCTGATCCAATATCATATCAATAATAGGGGTATATCATAAATTTTGTAATTTGCTAAAAAATATTCTCTAAAAAATATGTTGACCTAAAGATTATTATGACTGATAATCACAGACAATTTTTTCAATTTTCCTTTCATTCTCTTTTCTTTCTTTCTTCATTTATTTTTAAATTTCTCAAAACCATCGTTTAATTTCTTTTTGCTGCCGCATCATCTTTCTATCCTTCTATCTTCTTTTAAACAAGTACAATATTAAAAATTCTACAATTCGTTTAAACATTAGAATAATACTATTCTTTTCTTTCCTTTCTCTTATCTTTTTCTTTTTTCTTTTTTCGTTTCGTTTCGTTCATACACGATTTAAAAAGCGTTTTGCATTTGAAATTTCTGCCCCTTTAAATTCCTTGTCTTTACCGATGAAACGAAGAACCCAAAAATTCGAAGAGATGAAACTCTCGATCATAAGAGGATGCAACGCTGCGATGTTCTCGAAATTGTCGTAAAAGGTAATTAACGGGCACCGTACAGGTCCATGATGAGTAAACTTAACCACTCGTTTCATTATCACACCAAAGTAGTAAATATCCAACACTTTTCTAATACCTAAATTTATGTCGAGGTAAGGTATACATATACATATTCGAGTTCTTTCTCTCTAACACGTCCAAATTTTTACTGTTTTTCATACGAATCATTTTCCAAAGGTGCTGACGGGTGTAGTTTAAACAAACGGTGCACAGTATGAGTGACAGTGTATTATGCTATCTTCTCGTGTGGATTATAATTAATCGATAATAATAATAATAATAACCATAATAATGAAGGCTGGATACGTAATACTAAGGAGTTTGTACACACTCCGTGAGATAGGTAATCAGTAATCATTTAAGAGGATATAGAGTATGTTTCAGAAAAGCGCTCGGTAAACTCTGAAAAGTTCCGCCAGAGAAGTGATTGCATAGAACATAATCGTTCATATGCTGTTATACGAACGCTAATATCTACTTTCCCTTTCTTTCTTCTTTTTCTTTCTCAGAGCATACGATATTTTATATGGATTTCACAAATAAAAAAATAATTAAAAAACAGTGTTCTTAATTTACCTACTGACATGTTTAAATTTAAATATATACCCATTATAGATTATCGTTACAGTCAGCATAGAGATATTAGTAATCTGCGATGGGAATATAAAGTATAGCGAAAACACATCGCTTATATCCCATAATCCTAAATTGCTCGCGGTGATATCGTATAACAATTACAAGAATGCATTACTTTTTTTTCTTTTTTCATTTTAAAGAGAAAAGAATGCTCTTTCTTCTCCTGCATAAAAAAAGCAGACGTCCGTATCTTTTCAACAATATTAGACCATCGTGTGCACCATGTTCTCTAAATCATGTTCAATGTAATTAATAGATCTTGTTAATCCTAAAACCATCATCCATAAGTATAATAAATATTAATAAAATATCTAACATTGCTATTATATTTTCAAGTAATTACCTTTCTTATGTCATATTATTTCTTTTTTTTTTTTATACAGATTAAAATTAATTATCATTATATTAACAATATTCATCTTCCAATAATAGTTATTAATTATTGATAATCATAGCATTAAAAAAAAAAAAAAAAAAAAAGGAGAAGAAAAGATTCAAAATACCTAAAAAATGGCAATTTCTCGTGACCAGAACAAGTTTCTATTTTTTCCCCTTGTTTTATAACTTTTTACAAATCAGCATACGCATTTTGTACCAAACCAGGCCGATTAAAATGTTGCACGACTGACGACGAATACTTGCGTGCTCAAATAATGTTCCTGCCATCATTTACTTCTTTATATTACTTCGTTAAATAAATTCGCGATCGATATTCCTCGTATATATAACGCATTTCTTATTATTATCAAACTCTTCCGCTGCCACCTATTATTTCTTACTCTAGGCCATTTTTTCGTGTAAAGTGCACTTAACGGTGTCCATGGAGCACCAAATTTAAGGGACAACCACCTCGGCAGAAATTGATTAACCGCACTAAAATACTTTATTATAGCTTAATGGATGCATAGACACAATTAGTTTTTTTTCAGTTTGAATATAAGTCATCAGGGTATATCTAAATCTATCACCGGGTTTAAAGCGTAGGTACATTAAAGGTAAGGCAAAACTGCATTTCACAGAAAGGTGCTTTTTACGGAATATACGTTATATACACGTGTATCCGTAAAAATCTGAAATATATTCCTATAAAGAACATTCATAACTTTCCCCAGTGTGGGAAAATATCACAAATATTTTCTAGAAATATTCGTATTCTAGAAAAGTTTACTTGAAACAATGATCTAATTATCTTTTTACACTCTGTGTCAACGTAATCGATCACGTGTGATCATACTTGCCTCTTATAAATCATAGACGAATTTTGAACAGAAACTACGGGAAAAAATGAAGATTAATCTCCTATATGAACAGAGCGGTACCGCCCTATCGGATTTCTCTCTAAAATAAAAAGTTTGTTTTTCTCTATTCCCTAGCGATTTGTAGTCTTTAAATATAAAAATAAAGTAACGAGATTAATATTGTAATATTGGCAAGGCGGAAGCACAAACGCATGGGTGCATCGTTTAAAAATCTATAAAAACATATCAAAATAATTGCGCATATATACGTAATATGTTCGTTCGAAACAAATGAACAGGCTTCAATTTCTTGGGAAAGCAAGCCTCTTTCTTTCCAATCTTCTTTGTTCTTTCATTTCTTTTCCTGTTATTATAAGACTTAAAATATCATCAATGTCTGCCAAAGTAGGTACACCTTCAAACAGTATCCCACGCCAGGAAACTGTTCCTTCTATCCATTCTCTCCCTTCCCCCTTCTCTCTCTCTCGCTCTCTCTCTCTCTCACTCTCTCTCTCTCCCGCTCACTCTCTCTCCCTCACATCCTCTTATGCGCGCGCTCATGTTCTTTTTTTTGTTTCTTAAAACATCTACGTTACTAACTTAAGTTAAGTTGGTAGCTGTACTTACATCAAGACAATGTCTAATCTAACAATTACATATTTTACAAGAACGTTTGAAATCTGGCCCTACATCAGACATGAAATGTCACGAAGTTAGTCGTACACTGTACACTAAATTTTAGATTTACATAAAGTTTTCAAGAACATTGAATTATCTGGTTACAATGGTACAATCTGGTAAAATTGAAACTTACAATAAAGTTATGTGCTTTTTATTTCATAAGTCTCACCGGTAATCCGTAATCGCGTGATACACGTCGCGTAGTAAACGAGCATAGTTCCTACGTTCAAGTACGTAATGAGAAAAAGATAAGTCCTAGTCGAGGGAAACTCGTCCGTGTTCCTATAGATATATAGGTCGTCGATTTTATCCTATGCAAGTCGATTTTGTTGAATTTCACAGAATCAAACTTGTTCAATTACATTTAGGATCACTGAATTTATGACTGAAAATAACATATAATATATGGAGAAGAAATTTGCGTACACGTGTATGTGTACGTATATATCTTATAAATGCGTATAAGCTAGAAGCATTGTCGATTTAGTGTAAAGTGACGATAACTTGTACGCTTAAGCCTCGATAGTCAAGATAATAGGTAGAGTCTAAAAGAAGTGCGTAAAAGCACAGGCGTGGATAAAGTAACACTTTCATGAGTCTTAGTGCGATAAAGCACGCAAGGCTCGTTGGGTACGTAAGCAGGACATATTCAATTATTTATTGCTATAAGTATATCCCTTAAATCAACTACCAAGTGTAGCTGTTTAAAGTAACATTGTCATAACGCGATGTTTTGTGTACTATATCTGGCCTTCTAATATTTTAAATGTATATCTATTTCTTTTATAATAATAAAAAGCTGCAATCTCTGAAAATAGTTTGATGATTAAATGAATAACGTTCAATAAAATGAATCCTATTCCAAAGCGCACATAATTATAGCACAATATTTTTTGCTGTGCCGCTTACGGTTGGCTGCTTACGATAGCTGTATATGCAGTCTCAATTGAGGTATTTACGACATCTGCGGGAACCGCAGGTACATGGAATCTTGATATCCTCGAAAGGAAATTTGTAGTCATACGTTAGCTCTTCTCCTTGAATAATGCGACGGAGAGCGAAGATTAATATATGCTTCTTACCTAGGATGTCTACCACTCGCGAGTAACAATTTGGCTGAAATATGATTTTCAAGTTACAAAATTAGTTCGATACAATTTTTCGGATAAATTCAAGTTCATAAGGAAAACGAAACGTATATTTCAATAAAATAAATAAAATACATTCGGAAAACGAATAAATACCTCGCACGAGTGATTAATGAATCTTGCCGCATTTCCTTTCATCGTGGCATCAACGACTAGGTGATCGTCGATTTTAAACATGTAACATCCTATGTTTTTACTATCATAATATTTTTCTCGTTTGTCAGTTAACGAGGCACGAATCACCTGTAAACATTTATAAAATATTACCCAAGAAAACTACATTCGATATATAAATAGTTAGTAAAAGAGATTATATAAATAACAACGCCTTTCATCTCTCTACACACCTCACCAGCATACTCGATAACCATCTCTCCAGCTTCGATGTCTCTTAGGCAGAATAAACCTCTACCATGTATGTGAGAATGGTATACTCCAACCGATTCTTTCGACGTTTCTTTAAGTATCCTAAAGCGCATCGCCATTGGTAAATTTGTGCTTGCCACTCGTCTGTAATAATAAAACAATGCAACATATATCCTCCGACGTACGATGTATCAGTGTGTGCATACATACACACAGTAGCGCGCGCACACGCACGCTTTCGCACACACATACGTATATATATATATACAAGAGAAAAGAAAGAGAAAATTAAGTGACTTTATTAAGTGCACGTATTAAGATGCTTTACCTGGACTCAGCTTCGGAGATAGCGATCATTTTTGGTTGCTGCCTGTGCCTTGACGCGAGCCAACTGAACATATCATGAACTTTTCTCCCTTTGAACGGTTCCGCACGAGCAGCACCATTAACACACGCATTCGGTAAGTCATTTTCCGTTTCTCCCGGTTTTGGCGGTGCTAAATTATGAAATCGAGGTTTGTATTTGGTACATCTGTTCACGTCTGGTAGCTGTTCGACCAGGTAGACGGTGGCGTTATTTTCCAAGCCCAGATTTTCGGTGAGAGGGTTATGAGGCAACGGAGGTAAATTGTGAGCCTTTCGTGCATTTTGCACAGCTTGAAACACGGTTTCCCATACTTCGGCCATGGAGGAGGCGGTATGAGTGAATCCATCCTGCGACTTTATCTCGTACATCAATGTCGGTCCTTTCGATTTCTGCGTCTGCATATTTCCTACGTTCGGCTGTACAGATTTGATCGACTTACTGATCATTCTTGGCTTTTTCACGGCAACTGGTGGAGTTTTGGTTTTCAGTATGTTAAACTGGTTATCGATAGGTTTTACCTTCTCCTCGATCTTGTTCGTCTTCAATGTGAACGTTTTTATCGGTAACAATTGCAAAGAGGTTATCTGCGGCACCTGTTTCGACGGCAATATCTCCACGGACGTCACTTGCGGTGGTTTCTTATTCTGCGTCACTGCTTTCATGTTATGTGTAATTTTGTAAGAACCATCTTGCAGCTGCTTCTGCAGTACTATCTTCAACGAGGCGTTCTGCAGTTTCTCTTTGTCCAGTTCCAATTTCAGATTTTCCTTCACCTTCTCGATCGTTTCGGTGTTCAATTTCAGCGTTTCGTTTATGTTGTTTATAGTGGTCTCTGCTGGTTTCTTCACCGTTGGCGTCACAGCTTCCACTATCTGTTTCTTATCAGACTCCGTTCCAAGCTTCTGTTCCGGTTCTGCTGGCTTAATTACCGGTTTCGTTGGCTCTTCTATGATCATTTCTGTTTTCTGCATGCTCTTGGTCGTATCCTGTTTCGGAGTCACGGCTTGCATAGGCAGCACTCTGTTCATCGGCCTACTCGTTGGTACGTTGCTCGTAGACATTGTAATTTTATTTTGTACAGTCGAGCTCGCAATCACTGGATTATTACTTGTACTTACATTAATATTGTTTGAATTCGGTACGGTACTATTATAATTATTATGCACATTATTTACATCGTGGTTTAACTTATTTACAATGATATCCCTTTGAGTTATACAGTGATTAGGTAATGGGGGTATTTTAGATGATATGCTAGACTTTATCATACTGGTATTCTCTGACACGTGTTTCGAGTCGAAGTACGGTCGGACATTATTGTTCATCATCTGTTCCGAGCCAAACAACGGTTCTGTGATCTTCCATGGTCCGTTGTTAGGTTGTACAACGGAGTTTGAAACTGGACTTGGCCGTACAGCTACTCTCGGTATCGTCGGTATTGAGTTTTGCAACAACTTTGGAGACGATGTCACTCTTACCGCGGCTTGAGCTTCCGATGCACACGTATCTGACGATAGCTCTATCGATGTTACTGGTTCTACGACGCTTTGACAAGATACAGGCAACATGGTGTTACAAGTGGCCGTTGGAAAATTTTGCTCGGGTGTCGCTGGAATATGAATCTGTGATGTTGCGATAGACGATTCTACTATAGGCGTGGTCGATTGATTTACTACCACGTAACCACCGGGTACCGTAGACATATCGGAAATATTGCCAACTTTGGATGGTAAGGTTGAAACGTTAGATACATTTTGAACGGTAGGTACAGACGGTATGTTAGTAATGTTAGAAGTACTGGACAAAGTAGGTGCTGGATTAAGTATATTAGATACGTTAGATGCGTTAGGTATACTAGATACACCGGGTACGCTGGATACGTTGGTAGGTAAGTTGGTAGGTATACCAGATATACTAGGTACGTTCGATACGTTAGGCACGCTAGGCATACTGGATGCGTTAGGTACGTTAGGTATGCTAGGTGTATTAGATGCACCGGGTATTGTACTAGGTACACTAGGAACGCTAGGCACGCTGTGTACGTTGTGCACGCTGGCCACGCTAGGTACACTAGGTACGCTAGGTACGCTAGGTACGCTAGGCACGTTAGACACGCTAGGTACCGTAGGTACATTGGACACATTCGGTATATTTGTTATGCTTGGCATATTAGATACGTTAGAGACATTGGATACAGTGGGTACAGTGGTTACAGTGGGTATAGTCGGTATAGCGGGGACAGTCGGAACATTAGGTACATTCGTTACGCTAGGTACATTAGGTATGCTGGTTATATTGGTTACGTTGGATACATTAGCAACGTTTGGTACGCTTGGTACTCCGGATACGTTTTGTACGGACTGCACTGCCGTCACAGTGGGAACACCTGGGACAGCCTGAACATCTACGATAGGTTCCATCAGTTTAGAAGCTTGAAAAACTTGCGTTGTCGTTTGGTAACTGCTTGCCAATACTTGCGGTACCGTGCCAGTCATGAACTGACTGGAAGACATCACCGTGTTGCTTACGATAGTCTCCAAACCGTAATACATCGGCTGGTTCGACAGAAACATACTGCCCGTTGAATCTGTAAACATTTCTAGCGTTGGTGTCGAGCTCAATAATAACTGTTCCGACGAAATAACTCCACATTGAATCGCACTAGGTTGTTGCTGTATAATCGTTCCAAGGACCGTTGGCTGTGTTTGAGCGATCTGTACACCTGGCAATATCGATATACCCCCGTTTTGCAATGCCAACAAGTTGTCGGAAGATGCTTGTATGTATGCACCAGGAATTAAATGATTAGCTGTTATGAACTGAGGTTTAAACGCTGCAGCAGTTTCATGCTGACCACCGATCGTCGTTACGTACTGAAGGTTTTGTCCAGACTGTTGTTGCAATGTTTCAACGTACGCGGACATGATGCCAGGAGATGCCTGTTGCAATATGACAGTTGGCCCACTCGGTCTTTGAGCTTGTTGCAACTGTATAATCGGAGTATTGTTCTGCATCGGTTGAAATCTAGCATGTCCATTGTTGTGCGGCTGTATACTATTTTTCACGATTTGCGTTTTGATTCCTTTCGTCCGAGACTTTGGCGCTCTGGGAGATTTTGATTTAGCCAACTTCGTTATCTGAATACTGTTCCCTTGCGACGATTCGGTCGAAGACGCAGTTTGTACGCCGGTGGAAGAAAACGTAGGCGATATTTGTGGACTTGGAACCGTTTGGGAACTTGCACCATCTGGAGAATTCATAGGAGTATTGATGATATTTTGCGACATACTGGAATCGCTTGCGACAGATGGGGGATCTGTGATTTCTGTTATTTGAACAGTACTTTCTTGAGGTAACACCGTGGCATTCGGTAACGTAGTTGTAGTTCTAGTATACTGCGTTTGTACGATCATATCGTTTGATGTTAGTACCGTTTGATGAACGGTTTCGACGGTAGCGTGCGTATGAATTTGCGGCGTGATAATCGCTTGTGCTATCGGCTCGATTTGAATAGCCGGATGAGGCGATGGTACGGAAGCTTCCAAAGGCGAAGTAGCTTGGATATCTGGATAGTCGGATGAAAGTGTATGCCCCTCAGACGGAGACAACGTTATAAATTGAGGAGATACAGATCCGATACTCGGAGAAAATCTAGAATCAGGCGATGCTAACTTATTATCCATAGTTTCGGAATCGCTGTCGCTCGTTATCATGATATCACAATTTGCCAAGTGTCTATTGTAACTATCTTGCGTTCTATATGTACAGCGGCATCGTTTACAAGTTACAGGGCGATCTATGTGATCAAATGGTGCATCGCATCGAGATGTAATGGTAGTCGTCTCATTTTCAATGTGTTGCGGTGATACGCACTCGTCGTCGCTGGAAATATCATCGGCACCGTCTAACTGTGGAATTTTCAGATTCAATTTCAAATTATTCTCCCGCGGATTTGTTTGTTGCGCTGCGTTCGATCTTTGTTGAAAATTGCCGGAAAGGCCGTCACCTCCTTTCGTTTTTTGTGCTTTATCCTCGTATTTCCCAATGTGCGATCTAATAAATCCATATATACGCTTTGATCGTAAAATATTATTCGAAGACTTTGTATAATAAGAGTTGCAGCAGTCCTTCTCGCTAGACGAAGTAATTTCGCTGCTGTCGCACGACGATTCGTCGTTGATGCCGTCTAATTGCGGAATCGATAAATGTTCTGCCACGCGTAATGCCGTACTCTTTTCTTCTATATTATACTCCGGTGAACTGCATTCACTGGCGCTGCCTGGATCGGCAGGGCCGTCGACTTGTAATATTCGCGGTTGTTGCCTCGCATGCCAAAACAACCGTTTATGCTCTTTACCTTCCTCGCGACTACTGGATATTACTCTACGATTAATACCACTGGTAGCATCCTCGATGCAATACTTTAATTCTCGCATAGAATCGGATAAAATATTAGGTGTATTTGCTCTGCCTACAGTAACCATGATACTGTCTGGAATCCTTAACTCGTGCAAAGTAGGCGGTCGTTCGTTTTGCGAATCTAATACCATCACGCTTGTCTCGTTTGATTTCGTCATGCTTGAATTCCTAGACAATTTCCTTCGTTTTATGCTGGGACCGTAAGTACCATCTAATTTACAACTCCACGTTAAACTGCAAGATCGTTGATGGTGCCTTTGTCCTCCAACGATTAACGGGCTATTCGATATTACTTCCGATTTAGATCGCTTCAGTTCTCTGCCCCCGCGTTTTTGATTTTTTGAACTAAACAAATCGTCCATTAGATCTTGAACGGACGTTTTCGTTTCCAAATGAACCCATAAATCGTTATGCGATCCTAATTCTACTAAAGAAGGATCTATCTTTGAAACTTTACTTTCGGATGGCTTTATCATTTCGTCTACTTCGGATGCCAGCATATCATCCTTGAATAGATCTGCCGCGAAGGTCCCATCATTTTTCAAATCCATTGCTATAAAATCTTCGTACGTCATTTTTGGAAATATATCTTGCATGGAAATACCATCTAATAAATCATGTGGCAAATCTTCGAATATAGCTTCTTTCAATTCTGGAGGTAAAAGATCTGTATTATTTTGTTCTGCCAGATTTTCATCCACTTCTTTGTTACAAACTGCATCGATCAAAGCATCTAGAGTTTGTTTTACAGCTAAATATTCACTTTTCTGTGTATTTAATGTATCTTCTTCTTCTTGTTCTTTAGAATGATCAATAGTTATATTATTTTCTAAATTGGAAGAAACCTCTGGTACATACATCTGCACGTACGTTCTAATATAATATCTTACAATTTTAAATGGGTTTACCGTAGACCAATATAACCGAGAACATTTATAATCACAAGGTATAATTCTTTCAATTGTATCGGAGTATTCAGGTATAACTGTACCTAAACAATCGATCATCAATGAGCCTATCATAACTTTCACTTTACTTGGTTCCGCGTATTTTTTCTTCTTACGATCCAATTCTACGTATACTGGTCTTTGTAAACTAAATTCATTCTCATTTTGCAATGTTTTATGCGTACAGTTATTTAAATGCGAAGAACAAAATACTGTTTTATCGTCGTTAAAGGCAAGACCAACGTTTCTAGCACAAGGATAATGGAAGGTACTGTTGCAATTCTTCGCGCAACAGCCAACGCTGGCCCCTTTCTTTCCACATTCTGTGCAACGAATTAATCGACCTCTTGAAATAGCACTATGAACATTTTGTAAAGAACCATCGATTTCTTCAAATACTTCATTAGACCAAAGCGCGCAATTCGAATGTACCCACTCGTTTTGCCCGCAATATAGTAGCCGTCCTTCTTTCGTTTCTGGACCATCGCTTAAACCTTTGCACAAACAACATGATCTACTATCTTCGACATGAACGTTATATAAATTTGCTGTTTTAGCTGCGATTGCTTTTGGTGCTTTGATCACCTCTTCTTTCCATACTTCCAGAATAGAATCATCAAATTTTGTAACTGGACTATCGTCTTTACCAATATCTTTAGTAGCTGTTAACGGATCGCCTTTGCCATTATTATTTTTTATACTTTTCGGACTAAACCATGGGAACACATCTTGTAAAATTTCGTGATAAGCTTCTGTAAGATCCTTCGTTCCAGTACGACTTATGACATGTTCCATATCACAATGAAACTGTAACAGCGTTTTATATTCATTGTTATTGACTTTTCGTTTCACCGACATTAGTGTAGGCGAAGGTCTGACAATGATTTGCTGCTCTGAACAATGACATTCTGTATCGTTAGAATTACTATTTGTATTTTCTTGAGTTACCGAATCTTTCTTATCATTGTCTTGAGTATCTTTCACAGCGCAATTCTTTACCCGAACAGAACACTCTTTTAAATGAAATTTTTGCCGAAGACGTCTTAAACCTCTTCTGTTACAGCTATCGCTTGGTTGATCTTCGTCCAATTTATTTATCGAATCAGATTTTGAATTATTATTATTATGTCCAAATTCTGTATTTTTAGTCTTTTCACAATTACTTTCTTCAGCTTCTTCTACGTACAGGCCTTCTCTAACATTGGTTATATTTGAATCTGTTTTCTCATTTGAAAAGTCCAATTTTTTCCCATTAGAAACAGATATGCATAAACATTCTTTTCTTGGACTCCATTTCAAAGCAGCGCAAATCTTCTTATTTTTACTTAACGCTTTTATAACTCCTATGAAACCAGCCTTAAGTTCAGCTTCTATGGCATTTCTCCAAACAGAATTAGGATTTGAAGAACATTGACTGCATGTAAATTCAATAGTATCGGGTAGATAACTAAGAATTTGATAACGCTCGTCAGAAATTCCTTCGCAATAGGCATGTACCCAATACGAACATTCGCTACATTCCATCATCTAAAAAATACAACGCAGAGTTTATTTAACGAGTTTGCATACCGTTTTAAAGCGTTAATTATTTATCGTAGTATTTCCCATAAATCTTTATGTATCTGTACACACATGTCATTTTTTACAGTTACGCATACAAATGTATATTCAGTAAATTTTCTAAATAAAATATGTACACTTACCTTTGTATCGAAATCATTTTCGTTGTAACATCTTTGACATAGAGGACAGTAATTTCCTTGTTGACGTAATTTAAAACACATGGAGCATAATGGTAAATTGCCCACATGGACATTAACTCCTTCACTACCACAGCTTTTACACTTAACACAATTTTGACACACATAAGGTCTTTCAGGACTGTAAAGTCTCGCACTAACACCAGATTTTGACAAACACGAATGGTGAAATGATTGACGACAACGAATGCAAGACAATTTTGGACCAGATCTTAGATGGCAGGATTGGCATATTGTACATCGAGGACAGCACCAATTTGGTTGAGCACAAGCATTCCATTCGCTGGGTTCCAAACAAAAGGCATGATATGGCTCACAACAGCACTGACAGTGGATGAGCTGGAAAGATTTTTATAATGTATGATCATATATAACAATATAGGTGTATACGTTACTTACTGGTTCTCTGCCAGCACTTCCACAAAGGTAACAAATAGCAGGAATCTGAAAGAGTTCTGAACCTATAAGGGCAAAGCCTTTTGCACCAACTTCAGTAGGATCGTACTGTTCCCAAAAATCTATCGATATTGTGTGTAATGCATCATTATTCGTTTTAGGCACCTGCAAAGTGATTAGTTTTATTAGAACTATAAATATTCATGTTACGTAATATTATATAACTATAATATTAAAATTTTATATATTTTACTGTACTAATATAATGTATCTAACAAAATATATATATCTGTATATTTTAATTCGACGTGTGCTTACTACTTGAAAATTTGACGTTGATATATTTTGTTGTGATTTGCCTCTTTTTGGATGAGGTTGCTGCGTTGCATTGACAGTATTATGGTTTACAGTATTCTCATCGTTATGTTTTTGTGACTCTTTTTCTTTTGTGTCATCCTTTTTCTCTACCCTATCATTTTCCTTTAAATTTTTCGGAATGTGCTTATTGCTTTCAGTATCTTCTTTTCCATCTACAGAGGGGAAAGTTGCAATTGGTTGACCAAGAGCCACGCTTGCACTTCGGCAAACATGTTTCACTCTTGGTCCTTTCAATTCGAGTCTCTGTCTCAAAGGTTGTGGACATTGATTTAAAGGTGGTACGGAGAACATTGGATTCTTCAATTTCTTCCTCACTTTTATCCTATTGTTTTTTCTTCTTTTTTTATTAGGCGATATATTCAGTGATGAGTCAACTAGAAAATTGAAAAAGCAAATTATTCATATTAAGAAAAGATATATAGTATACACATTGGATATATAAATTGGAAGGATCGATCTTACACTTATCTAACTTTGTATATAGAAAACCACCAGTTCCTTGATAGCTTGTCTTTTGACCTATTTCTATGTTTCTCCAATTCATAGCTGATTTGAACAGATTTTTCTCTGAACTATCTTCCGCAGGCCAACCTAACTTAGAAGATATTAATTTTTGCCCTTGATTATCATTATCTTCTTGATTCAATATTAATGGAATATTCAAAGGATCTCTCATCATTGGCGGTAACAATGTATTTAAGCCTGTTCTCAAAGAAGAAGGAATGTTGTAACATTTCAAGCACATTTTTAACCAACAAGCTGGGCATCTAGCTTTATAAACACATCTCATGAGATTCCATTGCTGACTTCTTACAACAGGTGGTACTAAGCATAAACCATCGCCTTTATGACATTGAAGGACTGGAAGTGTACTATTTGTAGATTTTGCACAAGCCTGTCGTTTAATCATTTTACTGATAAACTTTCTACATGATTCACAACTGTGAATACCGAATTTTCGAGCTTGTTTCACAAATCGATAGAACCGTACAGCACCACAAACCCCACATTTGATGGTACCTGTTAAGCCTAAAACATTATAAAAGCATAATGAATTTATTATTTTCTTATTTCGTATATCATTTATATGATCGATTATATTACTTATTTATTCGAAGCATTATTCTACATTTTTGATCGTGCAATACAAATATTTGAATTAAAAGAAAATACCGTATAAAAGTAACATATTGTGAACATTATTGTTTTCATACCTAAATTAGTATTTCCACTTGTAACACTGTTGCTATTTGTCATTGAAAAGGGACCTTCAGTTCCACTGACACATTTATTATCCAGTTTTAGCCTTGCTTTTCTTAAAATAACTTTCCCACCGTTTAGTTTCATCCCAGTCCATTCAGACTGTTCGTCTTCTGTATGATTACTATGTTCGCTTCCACTTTCAGATAATGTGCTTTCCGTATCAAAATTATCTGAATTTCTCTCTGCATTTTTATTGCTGCTATCAACATTGCTTCGACCCTTTGCGCTATTATTTTCTTTCATTTTTGCTGAATCTTCAAAAGTTGTCTGAACTTCTAAATCAACTGTATCATTTTGAGTTCCTGATCTAGTTTGAATCCTGGAAGACTCTGAACTTGGAACATCAGAATCAGGAAGAACTTTCGTAGGAACAGAAATTAATTTTTGATTTTTAGAGATATTTAATTTTGCATTTGGAGCTTTTCTGGTTACATTTGATACACCATCTTGAACACTATTGCATTCATCGGTTGAACACTTTACCATTTTGTTTTTAGCTGATAAATTAATCTTTTTAACTTCTGTATTAACAGTTTTTGTTAATTGTGTGTCTTGTATAGAAGGTGCTAATTTTTCAAGATTCTTTACAGGTTGTACAAGAGTTTGGGCATTGGAATTTACACGCTGAATTACCTTTTTGGCTTTACTTTTTGTTTCTTTATCTTTTAATTTTGTGTAGAGTTTAGTAATATTTCCGTCTTTTAATTTTGGTTCTTGATTACAATGTTTATTTAATGCAATTTTAGCTTTCTTTACGTGCGTACCAATTTCGTTCTCACTATGTTCTGCTCCAGGAGTTTCTTCTAATTCTTCGATAAATCTTTTATTTGGTTTAATAACTCTTGACGAATGGGCACTTCGAACCGGTAAAATAAATTTCCTTACTGCATTCGGTTTATCTCCACATTGTGCCGTCATATTGCGCACATTGTTACTGTTAGATTTTGCCCTCTGTAATAATCTTTTTGCAGTACTGTTACGTAGTTGTCTCGTTCGTTGATGCTGATCTAAGATATTATTTACTGATTTTAATACTGGTGTTTTCATAAAATTGGAAAATTTTATATTTTTACAAGCTCTACGACTCTTGGGTCTGTGAAATTTAGTAGTACGTTTGGAATTTAACGCAGTCACATCTTTTTTATCATCTTCTGCCAGTTTGATATTTTTATCACATAATTTTTCTGTATTATTTTCAGTATGCGATGGAGGACTTTTAATATCTGCGACAGTCTGTACATTCTGCTGTGGCACAGAACTATCAATAGCATCAGATGGTGATTTAACAGTTGTATTTTCTGTGTCATGTTGTTGCGTTTTTATGTAAGACACGGAAAGATTAGCTTCTTTAGTGCTAAAGCCATGGAATGGTGGATGTTCCTATGAGAAAAATGCATTAAACCTTAGAAACAGATAATATATATTTTCTTTTGCATTAACATTTTGTCGATATAAAAATTATCGAATTAAACATCAAATGTTTATATTTCACATTTTATCATGTAAACATATTTTATTTGGTGTTTTGAATATGGTAATAAATATTCGGTAATCTGAAGGTATATTATGATTATAATAAGAAATAAGATATGTATCGCAGATTATTAGTTTTATTTGAAAGAAGAATAAAGAAATTGGTAACAATTAATCGGTAAAACACAGTTACTTGATAAAAATAAGATCGGAACGGCGATCTTTTATGAAATCATTGACATTTTCAAGTAAGCGGTACGTCAGTATGTATTATATACATCTGCCATTCCGAGTCTGTGATTCTCTTCTAATAGGTTAACTTTTATTATAGAGGCAAACGTTGGAGTTTTTCTGGCGAGCGAATCGGCACCGTATGCGTCCTTATGGCGCTTATAAACCAAATACAATAGTTTGTAAGTGGAGAAAGAATGATACGATTTGTAACTAATTAGACGCCTTACACCAGGTAGTCCTCATGAAAGTAAACTACGAATTACCTTTTCATTGTCACCAAATGTTTCGTTGAACAGGGAAAGTCCGTAGTAGATGTTCTCGGCGACGGTTACCGAATCGCTTTGGGCTGTCTCGGGTTGACCGAGAACTTTGATCCGTTTCCTGGTGACCGTCTTTGGCGGCTTCCCGGGAAACTTGGACCTTCCCATGTTCACTTTTTTCAACGGCCAACCTCAACCTCACAACGAAATTCTGTTTCCATTTTACGCGATTTTGCCCAGTCGAGGCGCACCAACTGAACACCAACGAACACTTAACACACACGGAACTCACAAGCTTCGTTAAACATCGGTTAACGTCGGCTAAATTCGATGATAGCCGCGAAATACGCGCGTACTGTTAAACACAGAATGACTAGTAGTAAGGTGGGTACATATTACATATGTTTTCGAATACAAACGCGGGCATTCATCTAGTAACTTTTGCTAGAGCGGAACTGAAGTTACGCGCGCTCAGCTGCTAACTCTTCGTTTAATCTCTCTAAGTATGATTCTCTATCAAATTCGCATACAATCGCATTTAATTATATCTATTTCATTAATATTTCTTATTACTCTATTTAATTAATAACTATGCGTATATAAAATAATAAAAATATGGAACAGATACAATTTTTCAATTTCTAGTCAATCGTTTTTTATTAATACAAGTATATTATTATAATACACAATGATAGTGTGTATCATGTATCGTATATTGAGTGCTGCGTAGTTTGTATCAACCACATACTAGGGAATATTAATGTTCCTTTTGCAACGTTCGTTAATGTAATTTTTATTTTATAAATAATTTAATCATTACTCAAATTTTGTATTTTATTAATTTATATTTCCGTGCTATTACAAGATTATTTTATATTTAAGTAATTAATTTTTTTTAAAAGTGATTTATTAAGGATTTAAGAAATGTATATACAAATATATTGCTCGAAATACAACATTAAATAAAACGAATACTTTTAAAAATATTCTATGTATTCCTCTATTTTATTTTTAATTCACATATTTTTAAATCATGGATTATTATACTTAATATATTCAGTTATAAATATAAAGTAAAAACTTATTTGAGAGCATAGCGCAGTATTATTAAAAATTTTTTAATATTAATGTCAAATAAATCTACTACTAATTAATTTTCTTTGGGAAAGCATTTTCGCTATATTTGATTACGTACATCTAATCGATGGTATTTATATTTACAAAGCGTAAAATTTCCTACATTTCGTTAAATTACTACCGTATATTACGAGAAATAATACAATGTCCATCAAATTAAATAAAATTAAAAGAACTCTTACAGATAAAAAATGGAGAGGGAGAGAGAAAGAGAGAGAAAGAGAGAGAATGAAACACATTAAAAGTAATTAAAGGAAATACAAAAATTAATTTCGCTATACACGAATTGCTGCTTTTTCACGGTACTTTTTCAAAATTAAAATCTCATTTCTGCCAAATACTGACGGAGCATTAGAGCTTTTAATAAAGTCAGTTGGTTCGTATTACGTAAAGACAGGGTTCGATAAATGAGGTATATATGAATTACAAATCCGGTGTTTCATGTGCGCTGACCTGTGCTCCATTTAAAAGAGCCTTCGTCGATACAACCTCAAGCACCACTTTCAGATCCATATTGTACTTTTCCTTCGTATGCAGGGCGTGTTTTTCCAAGATTATTTCTCCCCCTTGTACACAAACCGTTCTTTACATAATATTCGCTTTCTTTATGTTTACATAGGTAGACAAATAATTAACATTGATGATTATTTTCTTTGGCTCGTGGCAAATAGATATCGAAGAAAATTGTCGATACAGAGGAGGATGTTTGGCTCGTACTATCAACGTGATCGACATTATACCGCGCGTAATTTCGAAACGAAGGAATACACATACAATCGAAGTGCTCCTTCTTTTTACGCCAAGCTTGCAACAACGAGAATGCGATAACGTCGATAACCATTTCTACCTTTATAGCTGCACAAATTGAAACGTACTATATCGGGGTCAAATATCGGCCGGTCACCGATATCGCATCCCATTTTATCGATCATTTGGAAACCTAACGTTTATGCATTCTATATTTTTAATAAGAGATATCAATACTGTATTACGGTTTCCCATTTTTTGTACCGTTTAAACCTGTTCAGAAACTGAATTATAGTCGCGTCACAAAGAAATATCCCAAAGCAGTACTATTCTCGATTATTTCGTTTTATGTTTCTGGCGAACGCTAAAAGTGAGGTTAAAAAATTGCTCTTTCTCTCTCTCTTTACATATACATATGCATATACATATGCATATACTCTCTCATATACATATACATATATATATATACATATTCAAAGTTTCACGCAATTCTTAATTAAGAAAAATATTTATTTTTGTTCGTTTCTACGCGAATATTGGTATCGTCACGTTAAACTAGAATAATTTTGTAATAGAAAAATATGGGGAATTATCAAAAGCAAATATGATACGCGAGTAATTTTGGATAGATATTTATTCACTTTTTATTCGATAATGTTACTTTAGTCGCAGAATAATTGAACGATTTATTCGAGAAATAGCTGTCCATTACGCATGACAAATTATCTCATTCGTGTCCTTCAAATTATTTTCCGTTATTACAATTACAGCGAGCAAGTACTTGATCAATTTTTAACGAATTATTCTAATATTTAAATACGTCTTTCGTCCTCTGAAAAATATATGCAAATGTAAAAGATTAAAACAGTCTCGCAGAACCGCAATTTTTGTTTATCTATTCCTTTTTTTTTTTTTTATTTATTTGTTGAAATTACAATCAATTCTCGCGTTGAGAATTTTCAGTAATTTTTCTGGCGTGGCGCAGTGACATGGCTGTTTATTTACAATAAGTTAATACTTATTATAGATAGGTATAATTTATAAGTATTATAAGTAAGTGCATATGCTTAATTTGGATAACTAAATGAATCTAGCGTTTAGGTCTAGCGGGTAGTGCCTCTTCAGCCTGCGAATCTGATCCGTATCTATTCCTGACATGGTAATATCTATACGCATATATAGTTTATTAAAAAATAACATTGTTTGCAAGCGTACTACGACGCATTTGGTACACGGTATTCGCGCCATAACATTAAAAGCGTGAAAACATTTTAAGAACATCAGCGTGTATGTCATTTAAATCCCAAGCTTACCTCAACCTCTACCTTAGGAATCTTTTAATTGTTATTTACCATTCGTAAATAACAATTAAAAGTTAAGTTGAAACGAGCCATTCGTTACTCTAATATTTCGATACTTATCAAAGAATAGCAAATAAAAGTAATGGTACACGGATGATTATTTGGGCGTTCGTTACATGGGCCAACTGTATCGCAAGGCAAGAAGAGTCGATAAGAAGATAGAAAACTAGAAACCAACGGAGAATATCAGAGCAGAATTGAAAGTTGTCGTTTCACGATTTATATTTTCGGCCAACCGTTCGTCTTTTCTCCCATAACCAATGGAACGACCGAAAACACGTGCACAAAGCGGCACGTCATCGGTATTCCATGTGAAATATGTATATTTGCGGCGGGCACCCGTCGCGAAAATATCGAAATCATGGCACGATGTAAAGAGAAAGAGAAAGATGTGTTCGACGAAATAAATAAAGGGAAGGAAAGGGAATGTGGAAAAGATGTATCTGCGAGAGGATGGTTCACGGTATGAGTAATACATACACTATTAATATGTATAAGCGTCCATCGTCTTTCTCATGGCTCTACAAATGGTCCAGCAAGTCGTATATGCGCGTTATCCTTCTAGGATCGCACACTTGTCCAGCCGAGGTGAAGTCCGTGCACGCTGGTGCACGCCGATGTACGGCGGATGGAAGAGAGAGTACGCAATGCAAAGCAACGAAACGGAACAGCAGATCTTATAGCTCCGTTACAACCGGCTAGCTGACCGATCCCAATGAATACGGCCGGTACCACACCCGCTCGGGCATTTCGAGCGGAATGATCGAGAGATAAACTCGTTCGTCCGCCACGCCGCGCCGCGCCAAACGAATACGCTTCGCGTAACGAGTCTCAGGTTTCCCGGCATACAGCTAAACTATCGCATTAGGTCGTCTCCAATTTGAATTTGATGCAACGCGACAACTTTGCATACGCTCCATCTTCCACTGCGAACGCTTCTCTTTCTTTCTTCCTTTCCACTTTTGAAAATGGCACGAAAGTCCCATTCTTCCCTATGTTCTTCTTTATGTCCTTTCTCGTTGTTTCATTTCCAAGTCTATGGCTTTGCCTAATCAACATTTCGGTTTCGAGTAAGAGAACGTTCTTTTCCCTTTTTCGTTAAATTTCTGGTCAAATCTTCTCTTTAAACTAACTAATTATCCTCAGTTTTTATTCTTACACGGTATCAAAATTCTCATTTTCATTTAGTTCAACTGTTTAATTTAACTCATTGTCAACACGTACGAATCAAGCGTACCTTAGATGTCAGGTACAGCGAGGGAATAATTTTTCAAAAATCGTTCGAATAGAGTTGTCAACGGTGCAACAAATAGCGTCGAAATGAGTAGCGTCGAAATGAGAATTAATAGTTCTCGACGATTTCAGCGGTTTGAGTGATTTGAATGAATGAATGAATGATGAATTATTTATAGCTGGAAATATTATTATGTAATATGGATGTTCAAAGTATGTACACACTATCCGTCGCTTTGTTACGCTTTCCGCGTAATTTATTTAATAAGAGATGGTAATTAATACATCCGTGAACGTGTTGCAAATATTAATTCAACGTAATATGCTGCTATATATTTTGCTACAAGTTCACATCTAAAAGCAAGTTTTTTCTTATTTTCATGAAAAAATGTATCCTTCCGCAATCACTTTGTCATTGATATATATTCGCCATACTATAGAGGAAAATAGAGAGACACAGGGTGTCTCGATGTTTCTGCGCAGAACTTTACAAACATGTTCTATCGTATAAACAAAACTATGGAAAAGACGTCGTACAAACATGGGTTGTAAAATGCATTATTAAAATGTCATAACAAAAATACGAAATGATGACGTTCTGCTAATGTTTTACTTGTTGAGATCGTTGATTTGGTCAACCAGTTCGGCAATGGTTAGACGATCATTGTTACCTTGAACGATGGATAAGTGGAGCGGAATCAATTGCTCGCAGAGAACCCCAAGGAGATCACCAGATATCACGTCAGTGGATTTTTACTTGCGGGGAACTGTAAAAGAGAAAGTTTATCAAGAATTAATGCAAAAGATTCGCGACGAATTTGCTGCAATTAAGGAAAACGAATAAGAAATTAGTAACGCGATAGATCCTGTTTTTTGTATTAAGCGGATGATACTTCAGCATATTAATAATAAAGGGCAACATTTTGAAATGGAATCATAATACGAACTGACAATCTATTCCTATGTGGTATCGCACGAAGAAAGCAGTCCGTTATCATTTAATCTTTTTTTAACTTTATAACTTCTTAATAAAGCATTTAAGAGTGTATAAAAAAATATGAGAAAAGACGCGTATATAGCGGGTGTTCAACGAAATTGTACATTTGTACAATTGTAGCACGAACAGAAGTTGACCAGTTTCGAATCGGCTACTGATTTGCTACACGTAAGATCGTTAAAAAGTGTTTGTTTCTACAAAAAATCAAGGTCGCCTCGATTTTTTTAAATGGCACGATGAGTTGTATTTTTGTGAATTTATTGATTCATAGAAACGTTAACGCGTTAAAATTTCGTTTAATAGGGCGTTAGATCAGATGTTTACGATAACGTTTGTACTTTCATTCAAGATTTCTCAGCTGAAGGTCATTCGATGTTCGTAGTCAAGTTAGATCGTTAAACTCGTTGTGAAAAAGTCAAGGAGACGCTGATTTCTTTTTTAAAGAGAGAAGCACTTCTTGTCTATTTTAAGCGTCGCAATTTCTAGCTGATTCAAAACAGATCAATCTTTGCTTGAAACATCCTTTTTGTTATATTATCGGGAGTGCTTAAAGGATCGTGCACACCGCGTCGCAGAAAACACCCTGTATACATATGCATATGCGACGTATCGTTCTAAAATAGGTAACGACGCTGCAGCACCGTGGTTAAGATATAGGAAATTCATTCGCAAATGAATATGTTAATATAATTTTGACGAGTTGGAAAAAATGTATGGAAATACGAAGAGATTAGAATCGTGCATGATATGTACTTGGTACTCTTGCGAATCTTATCGGAAACATTAGTAGCAAAGCAACGTTATGGCGGATCGTTTCCTGGCCGGAGCCTTGGAATTAATTATAAGATACGTATTACATTATGTACCGGTGAATTCATTTTCTTGCTCCTTTTGTTTGTAACCGGCACGTACACGGGGTATAGAAAGTTGGAAGTTGGTTCATTGTTCCCTTCCGGACGTGAGAAATACGTGAAACATTTTGAGTGACAAACCGCGACTCTGTCTCTCTCTTACTCTCTCTCTATCGAGAAAAATAATCGCGTAAACGCATTTACCCAGCAAGCTACGCAAATATTTTTTACCCTCGTTAACTGTTTGTGTCTTGAAGGTACCGTAAAGAGTAGCAATCTCATTAAAAATATTGCTATAAATCTATGCACGAAATCTACTTGTTAGAACAATGCTGTTATTAGTTTGGGGTTAGGTTGGCGTTAGGTTAGGGTTAGGCACGCAAAAAGATAGAAGACTCTGGCAACGAATAACCCTGTATCGATATTCATATTTATAGTTTTTATTATTTTAACGATTTTAACGATTGTAAGAGATATTTATAGATAGTTGGCGTATCGAACGCGTTCTATTTGAACAGTTTTAAAGTGTCTAAAAGAAAGATATCACGGTAGGCAAGAACATTATGGTATAGCCGAAAATAGAAAATATAGACGAATTAAAGGACCTTAATCATGAAAGAATAGAATATCCAAGATGTCGAGACGCAATTAACGACGTTGTAATTCGCGAGTTCGATCCCTCTTTCTCCTTTTTTCTTCTTTTTCCATTTTTTTTTCTTTTTTTTTCGAATCGAAAGTATTACTCGAACATGCGAATGTCATTAACGAAGAGCTTTCGTTGGCATTGCAGTTGTTATTTTTTGAAAGCGCGGTCGAGTGGATTTTCGCGTGTCCCCGTGATTATTCGCCAAACGCTGGGACAGGCACGCGCGAAAAGACCATGAAAACAGTCGAGACGAGCACGCGCATTTCTATCGATATCGAAGTGCTGTGCGCATCGCGACAAGAATAAGTCTCGCCGCGCTTTTCAGCTGTGTATTTTTGCATCGCGAGCGAATCGCGCAATTTACGCATGCAACGAGCGTAGAAAGCTAGAAGACGGTTCATCGCACGGCAGAACGTGAGAAATACTTACACCACTCTACTTTTTTTTTTCCAGCCACCGCTCCTCCTTCACCTGTGTTCGTATACTCCACGCGCAGATTGCCTGTGTGTATACTAAACTCTAGTCCGTGCACGAAAAATAAAAGCACTGCTGCACTTCCCCGCCCCTATTAAACAGGTATGTAATTGCCGGATAAAAACAAAACTGCTGCTCTACGTGCTGCGGTTTGAAAAAATCCTCGTAACCGGGAATCGAACAATGAGAAGAGGAAAAGGGGAATAGAAAATTGTTCGGTGCCTGGAATAGACGCGATTTTATTCATAGATCCCACGAGAATTATCGAGTTATTACGAGATTTCATAAGCGGCCAAGCTTATAATGTTCTCGATTGTTTTTCGCAATTTCCAGCGCAGCACGCGGTCCGCTTGATGAATTGTTGATTTGCTTCGCTTCGTTTCGCTCGAACAAATAGAAACGAGAACGAAGGCCAACGAAGAAATAGGAAAATAAAAGGGAAGAAAGGGAAAAGCCAAAAGGGCAGAGTAGGTACTTGCGTTTACGTACACGTACGCGCAAGTGCACAATACGTAGACTCGCGAGTGCACGCGTAGATAAGTATCGATAGGGAGAGACCGGTTCGTTCTTTACGACAACGTCGAACGCTTTTTGGAAGACCAATTTAATGGCCACGTAACTGTCTATGCGTATACATACGTGGTCATTCGCATTCATACACATTCGCGTCAGCATACGTGGACCGATTCAGTTTAGACACCCACGTGGCGTCCATTATTCAGATCGTGTTCTACGTTCGAAGAAAAGAAATCTGCTTTATCATCCTCTCTACTATGCTCATATTCTTTGCTGAGAAATCACTGCTCAGACGCGGATAACACACGTCGTTATCCGCTCTTTTGGACCTTTCGAGAAGCGCTATGGACAAGGAAGGCGAATACATGGAAGCAATTCCAGGGAGAGAGAGAGAGAGAGAGAGAGAGAGAGAGAGAGAGAGAGAGAGAGAGAGAGAGAGAGAGAGAGAGAGAGAGAGAGAGAGAGAGAGAGAGAGAGAGAGAGAGAGAGAGAGAGAGAGAGAGAGAGAGAGAGAGAGAGAGAGAGAGAGAGAGAGAGAGAGAGAGAGAGAGAGAGAGAGAGAGAGAGAGAGAGAGAGAGAGAGAGAGAGAGAGAGAGAGAGAGAGAGAGAGAGAGAGAGAGAGAGAGAGAGAGAGAGAGAGAGAGAGAGAGAGAGAGAGAGAGAGAGAGAGAGAGAGAGAGAGAGAGAGAGAGAGAGAGAGAGAGAGAGAGAGAGAGAGAGAGAGAGAGAGAGAGAGAGAGAGAGAGAGAGAGAGAGAGAGAGAGAGAGAGAGAGAGAGAGAGAGAGAGAGAGAGAGAGAGAGAGAGAGAGAGAGAGAGAGAGAGAGAGAGAGAGAGAGAGAGAGAGAGAGAGAGAGAGAGAGAGAGAGAGAGAGAGAGAGAGAGAGAGAGAGAGAGAGAGAGAGAGAGAGAGAAAGGGAGAGAGAAAGCAAGAGAATATCGATAGCCATGGATATATAGGTACACGTTTAAGAAACAGAGACCGGTTCACGCTTTACGACGATGTAACCGTGCTATTCACAGGATTCAATAGATAGCATCTATACGTTCGTACAAGTGAACCGATACTGATGCCCACGCAGTCTCTATTACCCACGTCGCGTCACGCTTCTCGTAATCGAAGGATTACAAATATTACAATTTATATTTATATTATATTTAGTTAACTTTCCGATCGACCGAATGTTACGAAATTTGCATTCTACCTACTAGCTAGCGATTCTTTTATCTGCATGTAATTTTTTTCGTTTTATGTGTTAACGTTGCCTTTAAATATCGTTTCTTTAAAACATATCCGATAATCATCTTTTTTATCGCAGCATAAAGTTAGAGCATGCGAATTGCCAGAGATTACCGAGTTGCCGAATCACGTATCGACATCCGTCCGTAATAGCCAACATTTCCCTAGGGCTCATTCCATCCTTTTCAACATATTTTAATTCCGGTATTCAGGCAGAATGAAAATTACAAACGAGATATCATGGTCGATACAATTACCATGATAAATTTTAACCACCCTGTAAAATCCGGCAGCGGATGACGAGCCTACGGTTCGAACCTACGGAAAAATAGATATTATAATCGAATAGGAGAGAGGAGATGAAAAATTGGCAGAGTAGCATCGTCGGGCTTCCACCGGTGAAACCGATGAAATGTTTCAAAGAACCGAATCGGCTGCACCGTTTTAAACCGGAGCTGCGACTCGAATGGAATATTTTCTCGTTCGTGTCGATCGCTTTATGATCGAAATTCTAGTTATGAAAATTCAAAGGAAGCGCTAATACCAAAAGACAACCGCGCCAGACAAGTTATATACACTGAGATTAATAAGGAATTACGAACGAGCTACACTAATCTAGAGTTTCGTAAGCGGTGTCATCTATGTATGTATATGTATCTCATTTGCACGCGCCAGGTTAAATAGACTGCATTTGTAATAAAGATTCGCTCTGCAGAAACTCTGAACCCATCCAATTATTCGAACGATTCGAATTAAATTTGTAGTCGTGTCGTATTTACGGCGTATAGCGAGAAGAATTTTGATATTTAAAATTGAACGGTCACGAGATCTTACGACCGATTTTCTTTACTATCAACCTTCCTTTTATTTACCCTTCATAGGATGGACCAAATATAATAAAATGTTATAAGCTGCTTTCTTTCAAACGCGGTTTCGATTTTTAGTTTTGTAAATGATACGTTTGAACGTATCTTGTTTCGCTGTGTATCGCTCTGATTAAATTTTGATATAAGAATCGAACAACGTAAGTAGGATATGAGCTAATTTACAAAAAAGAACTGTTTGCACCGTGATTTCCTAAAAAACAGCTTGTAACACTTTATTTGATCTAACTTGTACACACGTATGTACATCTTTCGTTCAATCGAATGTTTCGTAAAAAAATGATGGCAATTTGTTTATACGGATAGTATGTGATAAATTAAATACAATTTGCTCGCTACGATATTAGATACTTTAATTGAAATTGTACGATATTGGAATTTATTTATTTAGCGATTAACGCGCACATACCGCGTGTTATTCGCTGTTCGGAAAAAGCAGGAAATGGTGTTTAATTAAACATAAAATAATGCCATATGATATAGTATGTAAATATCGATGAAATCTTACCTTTGTTACTCTTTTCAAACTTTACGATATAATGTATGTCGGAGTCAGGTTGGAATTTTGGGGCGTTCGATAAACCTTTACTTACTTTACCGTCGCGAATGTAGCTAATATTTATCAATACGAATGTGGACGCTACAAGAGGCTATGAGTAATGGCCATAGGATGTTCGAGATGATGGTGACAACGAATTCAGGTTCGATAACGAATCCACGGTCCACGGGATGACAAGTATCAACGTAATACACGATTCGGGTAACTTTCTCGATAACTGAATCAGCAATTCGTCCAACGACTAACTCACCCGTAATCCAAATGAAACTACCCTTATATATTCCTGTCGCCACTTCTCGGGTCAATCTTTGTTTTTAAGGAGAGCCATATAATCGTTTCATACCTCTGTCAGGTACACGTCCCTCCCGTGATCGTGGCTACGACTAGTGTCACTTCGAGCCCGAACCCATCGTCATAAAGCCAGATTGCAACATTAGAACTATTTCTTATTTTTATTACTTAAGCGTAGCTATAGTAAAAGTCTGGACTAGGGTATTGGGGTTTTTCCCAACATTCCGGATGGAAAATCCCGATGTTCTTTCATCTCCGATATGTATATATTACTAATGTGAGGTATAGTGTACCATTACATAATAAGTAATAAGCTGAAATATTCTTTGCCATTTTCGATTAAAATTCAACATATGAAACAGAAAAACACGAAAGAAAAGATCGAATACATCGCAGCATCTGCAAATTAAACGGAACATTTGTTCCTATTGTATACCAATTGAACTCGTCAATTTATCATCGTATTAAAAACTTATCTACCAACGATATCGTGAATTACATTCATCACTACATTTTCGGTCGTCAATTTGATATTATATTTAGTTTTTACCATACAGAAAGGTAAATAACTTGGGCGTCCAGAAAAAGAAACGCTACATGTATAGCTACATAAATGCCGTCTAAAATTATCGACTTTTTAAAACAGTTATTTACACGCATGTCGATATACCCAACATCGAAATACGCGTGTATAATTTGGAATAAAAAGTACGAATAGCTGACGTTGAATCTTAACGTGCTTATCAATAAAACACGGTAAAAATTGAAAATATCAAATATGGTAAAGCGATGATCATTTTTTTCTGTTAACTTTTATCATTTATTACATCTTTTTGATTAATCGCCATTAAATAGTCGAGAACCGTAAAGAAACAAGTATAATACAAGCTATTGTAAAAAGTAATTCTCTATCGAAGTATTTATTTAACGAATACTAGTTCTCGTTTCCCTTGCAATCGGAAGAAAATACGTTAAAGTTTATGGCACTGTCCACGACGCTGTAGAACCGTTGATATCGATGTTCTTCTCGTCATTAGCTTCGATTTGAGTCAGG